TATAAAAAGTTGATCAAAACTAAAAATGAAAATCCTCCCAAGTTTAAGAAATAAAAATAAATAAGGTTAAATATTTTTAAAATTTTAAAATTTTATTTATTTTATCTTTTAAACTATATAGTTTAAAATGAATTTTTTAAGTCTTCATACTTATCTTTTTTGAATTCTTTTTAATCATTATAGTTTAATTAAGATGAGTTTTTAATTCCTATACTGGTAGTTTTTTAATTCTTATAATCTCTATCGTTAATTTTTTAAAATATTAATTTCTTTTTATAATGTTATCAATTTTGTATTGGCATGATAGAAATTTTCAAAATTAATAATATAAACTAAAAGAATTATGAAAATTACAAGTATAAGAAATTAAATTATAGATATTAAAAATATAAATATAAGAGACTAAGGAAGTAAATCTAGGACTCCACGAAAAAATTTATACCTGCCCTACTAAATCCACTCAATAGGCTATCACTTACACTATCTGACTCAGTAATAATAATAATAAAAAAATTAAAAAAAGCTTTCTGTCCCTTTCATAATGCATTTATTAGCTCTTCTTATCGTTTGAATGGCTTGTTTTTCCTCTTTCTTGACATAAAAAAGTCACTACCTGTTTTTGATTTCATGTCAGCAATCATTAACACCATGCAAATTTTCCTTTATGAAACATGAGTTGATTCAAGTTGGAAATTATTGTCTCCTACACGCATTCGTGTCGAACAACAATAGTTTTCTCAAAAAAAGGAACAAATGATGATGTTTTCTTAAGAAGTATGCTTTTACTCAGTGACATGAAAGTATTTATATCCAACAAAGTATTCGCATCTAATTCCGAAAATTGTTGATGATGTTTCGCTTGGTCGGGTCTAATTAACCTCATCTCGATTATGTTGGTTGCCGAATACATATTCTCTTGAATCACAGAATTGATTCCTTTTGTCTCTTCCAAGATGCATGAAAAATGTTCATGCATCTTGCACAGTTCTTGGCTTCTTACTCTATCAAGTAGGGATGTCCCCCAACAACTATGTTCAGGTTCTTAGTATCTCAAAGGACAATTATGGGGTAGAGGTTAGAAAGATAAACATGTGTCAAGATTATAGCCCCAGTTTACCAAAACGATTTTGATTAGCTAAAAGCATAGGAGATAATGTTTGTTTTGACTTAATGCCTCTCCATTCAATTAAAGCATAAAGTTTATATTTAAGCTATGAATTATTTTGAATATATACTTTGTTAATGAAACAAGCTAGGAAGTGATGATGGGAGGGGACGTTTTCCCATTTGTTTTGGCTCTACCTCGTTTAGTGGTATCATGGTATTAGGTATATGACCTAGTACTAAACTCAATGTAGCTGGCCCAACTAATGGAACACCCATGAATTCTTGGGCTTTACTCATTAGGGCATGTGATAATATTTATCTTTATATGTAGGAGCCTCCTCAACCATGATTTGCATGTGGTAGGTGGAAGGCAAGCTTGTAAAGGGGCCAACATGATTTTATAACTACCACTCTACTAAGCTTACTTAATTTTGGAATTAAAGATTTTAAGAAAAAAATAATAAATCAATATTTTAACTTGTGTAATGTAGGAGTATAATGTAGGACTGGACTCAAATTAGATTGGTTGAAGTTAAAAAGAATTTAAATCCAAACCAATTAATCCCCGTTGGTTTAGATAAGATCAATTTTTGAAAAAAAATATTTCATTACAAATCAATCCAACCCGTCTACATTTGGGTTGATTCGGATTGGACATCAAATAATTTAATATATATATATATATATATAAGAAATTATTATAAAATAAAATAAAGTTAATAAATAATCTCAAAAGTTATAATTATAAAATTACACAATGTAAAAATTATATAATTATATAATTACACAATGTACAGTTATGGAATTTTTAGAGATACACATTTTTTTACAAGAGGAGTATAGGTGCAAATGGTTTGAATTCTACATTCTCAAAACCAATACTTATCAAATAAGTCTAGCTCAATTTGTGGATAAGGTGTGTAAGTTATTGTAAATCACTTTACTATCAAGTTTGATTTCGATAGATAAAAATTTGATGCTCAAAATAATGTCATTGGATTTGTAACTTATAAATCCAAACTAAATTGATTATCCAAACTATAATTTAATTTTCTCTCTTTGATTTGGTTCAAATTGATCATGTGATTAGATCGATCCACACTTATGTGTAATTAATGTTTATTTTATATAATTTAAATTGTATAAAACACTTTTTGTATCGAAAAGGAATGGATTGTCACGTGTCACACCACGTCTCAATCCCATGTGTCATCATGCAATAACCTATTTGATCATCTCGGCCACTGAGGTATATTTTGAACCCACATGTTAATAGATCCAGGATGTTCTGAACTTGTCGGCCCACTCGGCCACATCGGCTGTTGAGACTCTAAACCTCGACAATTGAGGTAAGTAACCATCAAACCTTGATATACTTGAGATTCCACACTTATTGGCTCACTCGGCCACGTCAGTTATCGAGAAGTCAAGACTCCATAATGTGCATGGCCTAACCAGCTCATATGGGTACCACTATGTTTCAGTCGTCTCAATTATCTCAGCCACCGAGAAGCATGGTACTCGTCTTCAACAATGACCTTTATCAGCTTAACAAACTCGGAGGCCAAGTGTGTCGAGACAACAACATGGTTAAAATTTGTTATATTGGTGGATTACATGGTTAACGAAGAAAGTATGTGAGATTAAAGAATAATTCATCATTAACAATCACATTACCTAATTGGTAATCAGAGAACAAGACCCACCTAATCCAAGCCCATTATGATTAGTATAAATAGTCATACAAAACGAGATAAAAATACTATTCATTTATTAGTCAAAGCTTTCAAAGTGGACTCCAGCCCAAGGGTCAACCCGACCCACTTTGAAAACGGGCCGGGCCAGACCAAAAAAATAAAAAAATTTATGATGGGTCAAAAAATATGACCCGACCCACTTTCGACCCGGTTCACCTGGGTTGAACCCGTGGTGAGCCGGGCGGCCCACTTGACTCACTTACCAACCCATCAACTTAACCCACTAACAACTCACTTAACTATTTATTATTATATATGCATTATTTTAATAAGATATCATTTTTTTATAGATAAAGATAAAATCAATGTTAAACAATATGAAATTGGTATAAATTTATCTATCCAAACCTCCAATAAAATTTAAAATTGATGAATAATCACTCTCAAGAAAAAAAATTTTATTTATTTTTTGTTTTAATTTTTTAAAGTTGTACACTTTTAATTTAATTTTAATGTTGTATCCATGATACTTAGTTTGATAATTTTTACTTTAGATTAGATATTATTTTATATTAAAATTTATTTTAAATTATAATTTTTTTTAAAAAGTCAGGTGGGTTGGTGGGCGACCCATTTAGCCCACCAACCTGTGGTGGGCCGGGCCGGGCTAGAAAAATTTGCATAATAAATTTGGTGGACCGGGCCGGGTTGGCCCACTTAAAAAGTGGGTTGAGGTGGGCCGGGCCAAACGGGCCGAACTGGTATGTTTTGACAGCTCTATTTATTACTACTATTGATATTTATACTTATTTTGACTTGAGTATCGGAGTGTCTTTTGTAAGTATCATCCCTCTTGTCTCTTGACTCAAAACTCTCGTTCGACCTCAAGACCCTAGATTACCACGTGAAGATTACTAGAGTGTCTCTAGACAGGTACACTTTTAAAGATATAAATTATATTATAGTTGAAATTCATAATAAAGTAATATTTTTTAAAATATACATTATATTTTAAATTTAAGATAAATAATTTATATTGTGAGACAAGTTATTTTTAACTATTTATAACTCCTTTTATAAAATGTTATAAAAAATACTATCGTTTAAGAATTTTTTTGAAAACATTTTTATTAAAAAATAATGCCTAAAATTACTCTCATTCAATACATTTATTATGATTTATATAAAAAGAATATAATAGAGAATTGTTCAGAAGAAAAAATAATTTAAATTAAAATCTCAAATGGTTAAAATTTAAAATTATTTTGTTGGTATTGAACAGAACAAAAATGTCTTGTCCTAATTAGCAGACAAAAAATTGTCAAGTAAATAAGATTGTCTATGTTTACAATAGTATTTCTCTAATTAACGAAAATTTAAATTTTAGTATACACTTTGAAGGTCTAAACTGCTAACAGTATGGTTTATTATATTAAATATTTGATAAATTGATATTATGTACCATTCTATGCTAACTAAAGGAATTGTTTATCAACGTAGTATATCACACTGGGAGCATAATCTCACATTGTTTGACCGTACTACGAGAATTTTTTCTTTATCTCCTCGACTATTATCACATTATTTATATTAACGGTTTATTAACTTAATTGTACTTATTATTATTTATTTTTATATTTTATGAATTTTTTCACTTAACTTTTAAAATTACATATTTTGTCACTCAATTTTTTAAATTTTACATCTTTTACCACTTTTTAGTTAATTGCAAATATATTAGTTGACTATTGATATAACACATTGATAAGTTCATGTGACACATTAATATTAATCGATGATGTAACATACATATAATAATGTGAAATTATGTGATACATCAACAGTTAGCATGTTATATTAACTGTCAACATGTCACAATTAGTCAAATAAAAAATTAAATTGTTAACTAATTAATGAGATGACAAAATGTGCAAAATTTTAAAAGTTAAGAGATAAAGAAAATATAAACACTAGTACAAAATTATCATTTATAGACACATTTTCTATGTTGGACATTATCCACACAACCTACAAAGTGATGCAGTAATATAATTGTAATTATGCCAAAATTTTATATGTTTAGTATTGACTTACTTATCATAGAATGCGCTTTTCATGACTAGTAAGTCAATACTCGTTATAAAAAGTGTCAGCCATTCTTTGACTCTAACATTTCTATGACAGCTGTTGACCTAACTGACATAAAAGTAAACATTCTATGACAGGTGAATCAATATCTATCATAGAAAATGTTCTTATTAGAACATTAAGAGTGGGAATTCAGTTCGCACTCTCTATCACTGTTCATCATCTTCTTTGTTTGTTGTTTCGTTTTCATTCTCCCTTACTTCTAACAACCCATCCTTGCACACATACTACCCTGATGACCACCGTGACCAACATATTTCGGCCACCTCCATGACACACACTTGTACACGACCCACTCAATGCTTTTCAAGTTTTTTCTTTCGTTTGAGGTTAGTTTCCACTATGACCTAGCCAATGCTTTGTGTTTGGTTATTGTTGTCTAGTTGGTTATTGTTTTCATATTGTTTGATTATTTGGGGATAATATGATGAGATTGTTCTGGTTTTAAGGTTTTGTAATGATGCATGTCAAGTGCTCATATAAATGTCCAAGACAAATGTTGTGGGTTGTTTTGTGGGTGTTTGTGGCTAATTGATTTGGGGTTGTTTGTGAGTTATTTTTATCTTGCTTTGTGGTTGATTTGAGGCTTTGTATATAGTTGATTTATGATTGATTTGGGGGGTACATTTGTGACCTTTTTTAGGTCTTCATTGAGGGTGATTTGAGGTATTATGAAAGCTTATTTTGTGGCCCTTTTGAGGTTAATTTGGAAGTTGTTTTAGAGTATACAAGTGGTTATAAATAACCCCATAGCTATATGGACTATTTAAATAAACCGTATTATTTTGGATTTATTTAACTAATTTATAAGTTAGGAATTGATGTAACTTTAAAAATTATATAAGTACTCTTAATAAAGTTAAGTAAACCCAATATAATTTTTGGGTTTATTTAGTTACATTATAATTAACCTAGAAAGGTTTGATAAATTTTGATACGTAGAAATGTTTTAGGTAGCCATAAACTTTAACATTTTTAGATATTCTTGCATAATTTTAAATATTAACATTAGTAAATTAAATAATTGAATTAATTTTAATTTTTAAATTAAGTAAAATTAGTATTTTTAATGTTTCTAATATAAAATCCAATAAAATAGGAGAAACATTTATTACCGATATTAATGTTTTAATTTTATTATAGTTGTTAAGATTGATCGATTATAAATGAACCTTAGTTTTCTATTCGAAATTAAATGCAATGATTACACAATTTATGTATAATCATTGTATTGAATCTTGAATTGTTTGTTTGGACAATTTGAAAAAATACATATAATTTTATAGTTGATTAATATATATATATATATATATATATATATATATATATATAGAGAGAGAGAGAGAGAGAGAGAGAGAAAGAGAGAGAGAGAAAAAAAAGAGAGAGGTTAAGAGGGAGACAGAGAAAAAGAGAGAGGTTAACTCTCATTTTAAATTTGATAAGGTCTCGGTTAACTACATTTCTTGTTGTTATCTGGGTGCATACTTGATTGCGGTGAATTTGCTGGTGTCACTATTTTCATTTTATGTACTTAGAAACCAATATGTAATGTTACTGAAATTTTGTCAAATTTAATGTGTGAGACTTTACCTTTATGTATTAATAAAGTATTAAGAATTATCTTTTTTAAGGAATAGGACTACACCTTGTATTAAAAAGTGAGGTTGACACGGTTTGTGTCAAATGAACACATTGATGGATTGGAGTAGGATGAGAATGAAGTGTAGGAGTTTCTTCGGTTTGCAAAAAGGAATGTTACAAATAGTGATGGAAGAATCTATGAGAGCATGTTTTATGTGATGGGATCCTATGAAGTTACACAGTATGGATAAAACTAGATCTTAGGAAGTGTGATGTAGAGGTAACCATGCCTTCCAAGGTCATTGGCAGGAAAGAGCCTATCCCTTTCTTTATATGCCAGTGACATGCTATGGGACATGGTTTCTGGTAATGACCTCCTTTCCATACCTATGATGAAATTATGGATTAAGTATTAATTCTAATGATTTTTATTTTAATATATTCAATTACACATTCCTAACATTATGTTCATTTTCCCAATGTAAGATCTCTGCATCACATCTCTTTGGAGATGCAAAATGCTTATTAAATTATGGTTTCATTAATCTGTATGGAGAAAAGATAGACACTAGAAGGGGGTTGAATAATGTATATAAAATTTTTTGCATATTTGCAAGTAGGTGAAGTAGTATCTGTAACAGATGAAGGGTTAACAAAAGTAATCAATGAACACAAGAAATTTTTATACTAGTTCACCTCAACCATCGAGGCTACATCTAATTTTCAATCTAACTAGATTGAGTTCCACTAACTTTCAACAAAGTTACAAGTATTATTTCACCAAGCCATTTCTGGCTCAACATAAGTGTTCTTTGATTGGTCTCTTCAAGGCACTACCCAAGTATTCTTTTCAAATATAAGCATCTTCAGGCTCAATCCCAATTTTTTTTCTCTTCAAACAAGTCTCTGAAGGCTCTAACCTATAAAAATGGTTATAAAAGTATTATAAGGTTGTTGTTGTCATCTACTTTAGACATGATAACAACAAAAGTTTAAGTGCAAGAGATCTTTTGAAGAAGATTTTCTATGTGAGTGGTTTTTTTTTTGAGTTGTATGTGCTCTCTTCTTTTATTTTTTTTTTCTTGAGTTCTATAACTTCTTATATAATAGCTTTGAAAGAGATGGCCACTGCAACTTCTTGAGTCTAATTCATATAGCTACGAAATTTTACTCCTTTGCTTGATCTAGAGAGAAGAAGTATTTGTTGGTGCATTAAATGCTTCAATTAATATCTTTCACCAAAATGTATTCCTTATCTTTGATAGGTCAAGCTACTTATCAAAGCAGAGCAACAAAGTGAGAACAACAAGAAGGAAAGTCAATGTGCAGCAAGGATGCAATGCTTTGATTGTGCCTTTTTTGTGAGATTCGGAATCTTTGTCCTTTGTTCTAATGCTCTACATGTCTTTATACACATTTAAAAAAATGTGAGTTCCAAGACAACGACTTTTGATATGTTAAGTTATAAAACATTCATTTGAAAATTCAAACATATTAGTCACAATAAATAATAGACATTAAGAACATGATGGACAATTGTATGCTTCGTCTGATTTACTTTGTCTTATAGACGCTACTTTGTTTTATAAAGTCTGAGATAACAACTTTTCGAGAACTTTTTCTTGCCAAAAGACGTAGTGTTTATTATTATTAAAACTTATGGAAAATGAGGAATCTAAGATCATTTTTTGACTTAACAACCTAGTTGTCATCTATTGTGTTAGAAATAAAGACATTGAGGTGAAGGATTATTTGATAGACCAGTCTAGCCTAAGAGACAAAGAGGTCTACTTAACACCTTATTTGAATTGGTAAGTACTTGTATTATATTTTATTTAATGTTTATAGTAATTTACATGTTTCTAACACTATTACAAAATGCAACACACATTGACAATTCCTTATTATAATTTTGAGATAGTTTCTTGTAATTTTCTTGTGTTTCATTACACAAGAAAACTATTGAGTTGCCTACTAGATACGTCATTAACTCGTAAGTGTCTATTTTCAATCTTTATGGGTTCTTTTTTTTTAAATTTCATTAGACAAATAATAATTTTATTCATTAACTATTTTCGGCTTATCATTTATTTTCATAGGTCTTTAGATGCAAGCTTGATCTTGTAGGGCTTCCTTCGATAGCACGAAAGAAACTTCAATATATCGTGTCGAAAGTAAGTCAACTATCAATCTAATAATGCTTATAGTTAAATTAAAATATATACTAACTATATTTTTATTTATGTTTTATATCCACTAAATTGAAGTGCCCACATCAACCAGGTAATCATCATGAGCGACTATTACATGATGAAGCACATGCTCACCATTATTATTATTATATGGTATTTGGTCATAATTATTTTAATAATTATAGAAGAATATTATTTTGTACGTTTTAAATAATTATTGTTTTGGACAATTATTTTGTACGTATTAAATAAGTATTTTTTATTAGCATATTTAAATAAATATTTATATGTTTTAAGAGAAGGTTGATTTTATATGATATTTTGTTATTGAAATTATATTATTATATTTTGGGTCAGAAATATATTATTATTATAGAGGAAAAATATTTTATAATATACATGTATTTATTTTATTTAATTATTTTGAGGAAAAAGAGAAGTGGGTTAGAAGAGAAGGAAAATGGGTTGGGTTGACCCAGCCCAATGGATTAATTTTAAGGAAATATGATAATGTGATAATGAAATATGATGACGAAATGCGATGATGTGATATGACCATGGGTATATATATACCTCATATACTTATAGTTATATCTTTTAATTTTTTTTTATGTTGATTTCTCATATCAATATAAGTGAGGTATGAAAATAATTATAAAGTATGAAATATTAATGTATTTATTATAAGATTTTTTTTATTGTATTAGCTTAAATGAATTTTTGTCATCAACGTATCACACTTAGGTTATTTTATCTCTTTGTCATTATTCAATTAATTTTTTTTATTTAATAGTAATAAATATATGCACAGGAGATCGAACTCCAGTGCTTTATTAAAGAAACTAAGTACCAGTAAATTAAAAATGAAGGAAAAGGAGTTCAAAGAAAGGAATAAAACAATAAATTAAAAACAAATAGACTTGGAAAGGGAAAAAAAACCCTAAAGGGGAGCATAAGATGGGCCTATGTATATGACATATCTTATATAAGCCGCCATATGGCCAAAAAAATAAAAAATAAATAAAAAATGAGGCAAAGCTCAAGATATATATACTTCCATTTATTTTATACGTACACCTCTTATTTTAAAAAAAAATAATTAAAATTTTAAAATATTTTTAATTTTTTAAATTAAATTTTTATTTTATTTTATACGTCAACATTTAATATAACACTTTTCTATACACCTCATTTTCTCTTTTTTTTTTGTTTTTTTTTTTTATTTTCACAAGTACTTCCTTATCTTTTCTCCACTTCTATCTATTTTGGTAGGTAATTTTAATTCTCTCAGTTTTACAATACTCTCTCCTCCCTTCCTCTTTCAGTTTTCTCACTATTATCTTCTCCCTCATACTTTTACTTTTCATACATACCTAGAACATATAACTAGTTTTCGATAACATCATAGACGCGTGTAACGTAGTTAGTAGATTGGAACGGGGCGTTCCCAGATTGGAAAGGGCCGTTCTAAACTACTAAAACAAAGGTAATTTAGTAGCTCAGAACGGGCCATTCCCAGACTGGAACGGGTCATTCCAAACTACTAAATAGGCCTATGAATCTTGGACTGGAACGGGCCGTTCTAAAATGGTCATTGTGAGTTAAATTCTACTCTAGAATGGGCCGTTTTGATTTTAAAACGGGTCGTTCTAGACGTGCCAGAACAGGCCGTTCTTGTTTCAGAACAGACTGTTCTGCACACATGATGAAGGAGCCTTTGTGTTAATATAATTTTATTTCAAAATTATAAAATAATAAATGAATTTCCATAATGAATAAAATTATTTTAATGGGTTTAATTATATTTTATTTAAAATTAAAATAATATTTATATTTTTTAATGAAACTTGATGAATTTATTAAAATATTAATATTTTTACTGTACATCAACACTATAGCACCTTAAAATAATACTAATGTAACAGCTACAACAAACTAGTACACCGTGAACCATATTACATGTGGGTTCACGGTAGCAATCACCGTTTGCGCCGGCATAAACATGAAAAAGTCATTGATATACAGTTCAAATAAATACAACTTTTCACATGCAACTGGCCTTGCAAACAAATGCTAGAAACATTTAGCTAGCCTAGTTTTTCCTTTAGCATTTGTGAAGTTTGTGACAGCACAAAAAGTGAAAAAAGTTATTGATCTACAGTTCAAATAAACACAAATTTTCACATGCAACTGGTCTTGCAAACAAATACTAGAAACATCTAGCTAGCCTAGTTTTCCCTTTTGCATTTTGTAAAGTTTGTGACAGCACAAAAAATGAAAAAAGTTATTGATGTACAGTTCAAATAAAGGCAAATTTTCATACACGGATGACGAAAAAAAATCCATGACAGAATCCTGCAATGCCCACACTTATTAGACAATAACACAACTTGTGACTGTACTTCGCACAGAGATGAAAGTTTGGATAACAGTTATTTTGATGTATTGGCACCTGTACATAAATTGAAAACAATATTACACGTCTAAATTAATGGAAGATAAAAAAAAAAAAAAGACATTGATGAAAACAAAACAAGTACTATAAAGCATAGTTGTATGTCTCCAAATCAGGAATTGACCTCATCTTAAGGTTGGACCTCCTGGTCATATGGTTGAACCAGAAAACTCCCAAGAAAAAAATTCTAGTATATTTCAAACACTTTCGTCTATTTTAATCAACCAAAACAATCTACTTACCTTTTAACGTATCTTTGTTCCTTGTCTAATTATATTACTAAAGAATACTATTGTTACGTTAGTAATGCCAAATGAAACCTTTTTAGAAACTTTAGTACGAAAGAAAATTCATACTACTACCCTTTTGGCAACTCTAAAAGTTAATAGCAGACAAAAATAATCACTGGTCAGCAATATTAGAACTCCTCTCCGACCATTTGAAACATACTAATGAATTAATAAAATATATGAAACCAGAAATAGTGAAATGTTGCCAAAAGTTGTTAAAAGGATCGAAAAAGGTACAAAAATTTTCAAATCAACATACCGCTGCCACTAATAATTTGTTAAATTGCTAAAATCCTTACTTTGCCAATTCAAATATCAGGACTGATAGAAAACTAACCTTGTTTTTCTTCGTCGATAGGCTCGGATTTCCAAACAATGTCTTTTAGCCCAGTAGAAAGGTTTTTGTAGAACTGCAAAGAAAGAAAAGTTAGTCCAAGCGAGCTAATGAAAAAAGAAAATATATTTTGCAAGAACAAATGGGAAAAAGGAGGCAATTTTTCCATCCCTGCTAAGCTGAATGGAGTTCTATTTTGTGTTGGCTTTATTGCTATAGTAGCTGACAGGATTCAGTAACTTGTATATACTTATACAAGAAATGCTAATGCTAATACTCTATCTGTTATTGATTGAAAATCACAAATTTTGGTGAGTCCTACTACTAAATCAGAAAGAAACTCAATAAATGAGATGTGTGACCCACAAAATTTGTAATTTCCAATAAATTTCAGCCTATAATAAAGAGTATTAGAAAAAGTGTCAAAAAAATGTCACCAGTATTTCTTGTATATATAAATAGGCTGGAAGTAAGTGATATGATTCATATGTGGGAAACCAGGATAGTCCATCGCAAGCTCTTGAAACCATAAGAGAAGTAGTGATAATGTAGAGTTGGAGAAAAATACTGTTTTATTGGTGTGAACCCAACATAAGTTGTGATAATGTAGAGGTATTAATTTCACTCCCATATACAAAATACATGCATAATAATTTGTGCATTGAACTTACCTTGTGAAATTCCAGAGTATCTCCTTCAGACTTACGCAGCTCAACCATGTATAGTGAAGGGGCCACCTCTAAGATCTGGAAAGCAACACTTTAAGCATTAGGAATAATCCCGAGTCCTGAATATAAATAAATTATTGTGAAGGACACCGCAGATAATGAAAGCAAACTTTGAAAACTATACCTCAGTAGCCACAGACAGATGACCTTTCCGTCCAGTCTTTTCTCCTTGAATCTTTAACTGAAGTGCAGAATAAATAATATATACAATAGAATTAGAAACTTATTTCCAAGGTACTAGTACTAGAAATTAGGCCCGATATATATATATTGCTTTATTAACTATATAGACAAGATATATAGTATAGATATTTTTTACCTTACAGTTGTTCTTCTTAACATCAAAACCCAGGGGTCCTGCAGCTTGTTCAATTTTTGAAATTATTTCATCTGCTGGATATTTGGATGTGAACCGTGTTTCCCTTTTAACTAGTCCCTGAATGTCAAAAAGTAAAGCTAGCATTAACCATTATATTCGAGAACTGCATTCTTGATTCATGTAACTTGTAATCAACTAATAGCATAACATGATGGTGTGAAAAGCGAAAATGAAAAAGAAAAGAAAATATTACTTGTGATCTGATCACAATGTAATTTGACAAGTCCTCGCAAGACTTTTTTATTTTTCATTTCCTATGTCAAATTTCTAGGATGCCAAGCTCTAATAAGAGAAAAGTATAGAATTCATTTCTTATAAAGACACATACCATTTGCTTCTCAAAAAGACTACTAAGATTGAGGCCCTGAGATTTGGAGATGAGCTCAAAGGCATTCAGAGTCACAGGTGCTGCAGGTGCCACAGGCCCCACTTCACGCTTCTCTACAACAAGATTTTTTGAATCCTGTGTACCAAAGTGAACATTGAGATAGAGGTTAGAATCCAAAGCCTTGATGAACAAAATCTAATCAAGATTAACAGCTAAAATCAAAGACTTACCGTAGATTCACCGAAAATAGAATTTACATCATCAAGACTAACATTAGCCTGTTCAAATACGGGTGGCTTATATCCTTTCTTGAACCAATCATTCTCAATGACCTCAGCAAATGTAATCCGCTGTTTCATATTATTAAAAGAAAAAGAGAACAAGGTTGTTCACATTTGTGGTGACATGGAGGGAAGAATAAGAGTATTGTTAAACACCACATTAGTAGTAGAGTAGAATTAAAATTAAATTAAACAAAGAAAACACATACAGTGGCAGGATTGGGATCAAGGATAATGCATAGAGATTGATTGACATACATCATGTGCATAAATGTTTTTAAGGGTACGATATGGAATACACCGCCAGAGAAGACCCCTAGTGTAAAAGCTTTGGGGATTAGTCTTTCGCCTGTAGCATCTCTTGCCCAAGGTCGTGCCACCCCCGACGTAAGCATGTCACACATCCTACATTGTGCCAAGGTCACACCTGCAACATCTCTTGCTCGAGGTCGTGCCACCCTCGACATAAGCATGAGGACTTTTGACATACATCATGTGCATAAATGTTTTTAAGGGTACGATATGGAATACACCGCCAGAGAAGACCCCTAGTGTAAAAGCTTTGGGGATTAGTCTTTGGGGATAGCTCGGTTTGTAAGTCCCACTCTCGCCCATTGTGTGCATGAGATGTATCTTGCGCGGCTTAGCTATCCCGACGAGACTCTGGTAGTATATCCTTCTAGTGAGAGTGCGCAGAGGGTGTGACCCGGCATGTACTCCTAGACTACTCTTCGTGTATTGCTAGCGGCAATATGCCATGTGATGTTTTACTGGCGCCACATGCATGATAATATGTAGTTCGTGTCCATGCATGTGCATTCTTATTATTAAATGATGATAAATTACTATTTGTATGACTTGGATGATTGGATAAGCTATTGTTGTTGATTGATCTATGAGGTAACTGTATTGTTTGTGTTTGGCTATCCGGTGTGCGTTCCTACACCGTAAGCCAGAGTGAGATGTTTCTCACTCCTTTCTTTTGTGTTGTTTCCCTTGTTTGATATACAGGAGACCATCAACAGCATGAGGCTGAGGATGTGGACGATGGAGCTGAGGCTTCTATGTGGGATTTTGCTCTGATAGGACATGTGACATCGGGACATAGATAGAATTAGAATATGACATTGTTTATGATTTATTAAAGTATATATTTTGGAAAATTCAATTTTTATTCTTTGTAATTTTATTTGCTATTTGGATTAAGGACATGAATGTGAATTCTCTACTCACATGATTATTGGAATTGTCGTTTCAATTTTAAATATTTTTTTTATCCAATAAGATATTTCTTTTTATTATTATATATATATATATATTTGGGTAGAGGGTGTCACATTAAGTGGTATCAGAGCAGGTCGATCCAATCGGCCGTGAGTTATGTACTTATCGTGATTCTGTTGTGTACTCTGATTGTGTCTTATTTGTTGTGTACTTTGATGATGTTTTGCTTTGATGATGATGATGTTCTTCTTGTTAAGTTATTTTGTAATTAGAGGAATGATAGTCATGATAGTGTTAGCTAATACCATTATGACCGCTCTTCTTCATTCTTATGATTGCTTATTTGTTTGATACTTCTTGCTTACGTAAGAAGTAGTGGTTGAGTGATATCGCTTGTGTTGCAAGCATATGTGCGAGTAGTGGTAGACGAGATATTGTGCTAATATTGTAGGAACTATTGAGGCCTTAGATTTGGGTAAGACATTGATTTTTTTTAGTGTATTAAGAGTTTACGATTGGTGGAATTTTTGAAAGCTATAGTTGTAGCGATTGAATCCAAGGATGATGTATGTTGAGAATTGGAGTTTTGGTATTCTTAAGGAGAGATTGAAGTGTTGATGATTTCTAGAGTTTGATGGTTGCATGTTGACCTTTTATGGTTTAGGTAGCATGTGAATTTTATTTTCTAAGCCTTTTATACTGAATATGTGAGTTGTTTTGGTTTAGGATTGTAGTGGAAAGCTTGAATATGAAGTTGAGGTGTGAGTTTGGAAGGGTTGAGGTATTTTTGTGGGCTTAGATATATTGATATACTATTGCTGTTTGGTGTAGAGGATATTTTCGCTGCAGTCTTGTTGTTCCAGTATGAGTACCATATTGACAGATTTAGATTTTATGGTCTTCACAAAAGTTGTAGCCTTGGACGTTATCTTTCCAATGGAACTGGAATCAGGTAAAACGGAGGTCTAGAACTCCAGTTATAGCTACTTTGGTGATCAAAGGTCTAGCTGTAAGCGCTGAATATATCTGCTGCGGTTTTTGAAATTTTTAGCTAAGAAGATGATCTTTTTAGAATCTTATGTCTTCATAGGAGTTGTAGCTTATTCTCTTAGCTTTCTTTTGAGATAGGTTTGAGATCATTTGGATGAGTATAACTCTCTAGGTATCATTTTCTTTGATCATTGTTGAAGGGATATGTATGGTGTCATGATATTTTTGAATCGTTAGGCAATGCAAGGATAAAAATTGATTTTGTTAAGATGTTTTGGGGTGTTTTCATGTGGATTGAGAGGTTGTTTAAGGCTGTATGATGCTATGTGGTAAAGGTTGTTCATGTACATGCTTATGGATGGTATATTTGAAGGTTTAAAGTAGGTATTCTAATATGATTTAATATGCATGTATGTTGATATGTGGATAGATGATCTTAGGGATCAATTGGTGAATGTCGTGTGGTTAGTGAGATTGATCTTAGGGTGTGATATGATCATATTGTAGTTGAGGGTGGAGATATATTCAAGACGGTTGTATGTTAAGTTATCTAAGTATTACTATTTTATTTTATCTTATTTTATTTTATTTTATTATTATTTTTTTATTGTATGAGATAAGTTTTCTAGTTCCTGTAAATTCCAGTTGAGGTAAACATGGATCTGTCTCAGGTAGAAGTTGTGTTTAAGTGGGGAGATATCTAAGCCAGTTAGTGAGGATAAGAGTTTTATGAGGTTAGCTTATTATTATTGGAGATTTATTGAAGGAATTTCTAAGATAGCATTGCCCTTAACTACATTCACTAGGAGGAGTATTGTCTTTATGTGGGATAGTAAGTATGAGAGTAGTTCCAACTCTTAAGGCAAGATTGACTAGTGTTAATATTATTGGATTTTAGTAAGCCTTTTGTGGTATATAGTAGTACTTATAAGATGAATTTGGATGCATTGTTGATGCAAGAAGGAAAGGTAGTAGCTTATGTTTCTAGGCAATTGAAAATTCATGAGAGGAACTACCTTATCTATGAGTTAGTGGTTATGATATTACATTAAGATTTGGAGACACTACCTATATGATTCTAAGCTTGAGGTATTTAGTGATTGTTAGAGTCTTAAATATCTTTTGACCAAAGGAGATAGTTGGAATTTCTTAAGGACTAGGATTTTAATCTCAGTTGCTATCTAGGTAAAGGCAATGTGGTGACAGATGCCTTGAGTAGGATGATCTTTCATCTATCATTTTGATGATTTAAAGGTTAAATTTGATTGAAGAGTTTAGAGATTTAAGCTTGATTTGTGAGCTTACCCTTAGAAGCATTGAATTGAGTATGTCGAAGGTGACTAGTGAATTAATGGATGAGATTAGAGGAGCCTAAGAGTTAGATCCTTTCTTAGTGAACCAAGTGGAGAGGATTGGTAAGGGTATAGATAGCCCTTTTCGAGTGGAAGTTGATGGTGTTTTGTGGTTTCAGGATAGAATCTATGTGTCTAATAATCCCGAATTAAGGAAGATGATCTTAGAAAAAGGCAATAAGAGTACTCTTAGTATTCACTTAGGAGCTATTAGATGGATTAGGACCTTAGGAGGATGTATGAGAGTGACGTAGCGGAAGCGTGGTGGTCTAAGGTGAAGAGAGGAGTAGAGGAAGTTGTGGACTCGTGTGTAGTATTCCAAAAGCCTAAGGTGGAACATTAGAAAGTCTAATGCAGGAGACATATCCATTTTTATTTACTTCAGGTAATTTCGAGGACGAAATTTTTAAAAGGAGGGGAGAATTGTAACACCCCAGTTTTCAATAAAGTTATTATTATTATAATAATAATAATTATTATTATTATATGGTATTTGGTCATAATTATTTTAATAATTATAGAAGAATATTATTTTGTACGTTTTAAATAATTATTGTTTTGGACAATTATTTTGTACGTATTAAATAAGTATTTTTTATTAGCATATTTAAATAAATATTTATATGTTTTAAGAGAAGGTTGATTTTATATGATATTTTGTTATTGAAATTATATTATTATATTTTGGGTCAGAAATATATTATTATTATAGAGGAAAAATATTTTATAATATACATGTATTTATTTTATTTAATTATTTTGAGGAAAAAGAGAAGTGGGTTAGAAGAGAAGGAAAATGGGTTGGGTTGACCCAGCCCAATGGATTAATTTTAAGGAGTCAGGTAGCGTTAACCCTATCTACCTCATTTGCGTTCTGAAGGGTTAGGAAAAAAAAAAGAGAAACAAAGAGCTCTAAGGAAGAGTACTCAGGAACGACCTTAGATCACACCTTTGTCTTCTGCTCATCCAGGTAAGGGGGGAGTGAGAAACCTCGCTCTGGGTGTGGGATTGTATGCTGGGTAGTGGGATTGGCCCCCAATCCTGTGTTTGTTGTATTTTTATGTATGCTCATGTATGAGGGGTTTCTCCCAATTGTATCTGTTTTGCTTATTATTTTTCTTATATGCAATTAATTGTATGACTTGAGATCTCTATGGGTTCCTATGGGAAACCCTATGAGAAAACGGGCAAAATATGAATGTTTTCTATTTTGCCTTCTGATTACTTTGTTGTGTTCCTTGTTGGATGTGATGCATGAGTATGTGGTTAATTTTGAAAATAAATATGTTTTAATATGATCTAGAGTGCTCTATGGGTTCCTGCGGGAAACCCTATGAGAAATAGGCAAAATATGAAATATTTTCTGTTTTGATTTCTGATTTTTCTGTTATATTCCTTGTTTGATGAGATGTAAAAATATGTATTTAATTTTATAAATAAACGAGTTTTGATATAAATTAAAGTGCTCTGTGGAGGCTTTGTGAATATGATGATGTAAAGTGAAATGTGATTGAGACATGGGATATGAAATGTGATAATGAAATATGATGACGAAATGCGATGATGTGATATGACCATGGGAAATGATAATGTGATATGAGAATGCATAGAGTCTTGATTGACATGCATCATTTGCATAAGTGTTTTAAGGGTACGATATGGAATACACCGCCAGAGAAGGCCCCCTAGTGTAA